CGGTCTTAAATCAGAAATAAAAACCTCTTCAAATATACTTAAATTTATTACTTATAAAACATTAGTTTCATATTTATCAAACTTCATTTAATAAACTTAAAAAACAAAGACTCCAAAACAAATAGAGCACTCAGAAAGAAGTTCAAGAAACAAAAGTAATATACAAAATTTAAAAATTAAACACTCAAAAAAAATAAAATTTATCAGTTATTGTGTTATAATCATTCACATCAATGTTATATGTTCGCCCTGATTTTGTTGTTGGGACTTTGATTACTGCAATCAAACTCGACAATGGTACCCAACAGATATCATCTCTCTGTGGCCAAATAAAGTTTTGAGAAGGGCCGTGAGGGTGCATAAACTTAATTTGAATATCATTTAGAATAATATCTATCTCTGTAACCATGCCTATCCACCAAAAGGAATCGTACTTGCATGCAACAAAATCATTTAGATTTGGTTCAATAACAACATCAGACATTACTGCTTTTGACAGTATAAATCTGTCAACACATTGGTGTTCGCTTGTTCTTTTAAAACTAATTTCAAATTTTGAAATAGGTATGTAATGATGATAACTTCTGGTACCTGGAACAGTTTTTCCTGTTTCAAATCGCTCCTTTAGTTGCTGTCTCCTTGCATTAACTGTTTCTTTGGAAATTTTATAAAATATGATTGTGTTTATATTGGTGATGCAAAATTCAAGCATATCATCAACTGTTAATACTTGGTTTTCCAATGCCCTTTGCAAACTTGCTCTTGCTGTTATTCTTTTAACGATACCACCTATGCCATCACAAGTGGATTTTCCATGGCTGGTTGCAAAAAATATCCATTCAGCTGTAATCTCAAAATCTTCCTTATGGTGGCATAGATTTATAAAGTTTTTATAGTTTTTATAATGAGCAGAACATCCATCAGAAAAATAATAAATTTTATTGATACTAACTAAATATTCCTTAATGTACTCTACAATTTTCTTTTGAAATTCATACACAAAGCATGTATCATGATCATTGTCATCACTTAAAAAACAGAATGACTTATGCTGAATATTTGTTTTAGAAAATTCCTTAAAATATATAACAACAGGATGAAGTGTACATTGTTGTTTATTCCAATGATAACTTTGTATTTCATCCTGTATAACAAATTGATAGTTCTCTGCAAAATCTGCCTGTATAATACATTCATTGTAACCTAAATTATTTTTTAGTTCTTTCAAATAGCGAGTTTAGCATTTAGCAATATATGAATGTGAAGTTAGATGATTAATGTGAGAAACAACTAGTTCTTTATATTCAAATAAGTTAACTGATTGAGTAATTAATTGTGATCTATCAGTACTTTGCCATTGGTTGAATTGAATTTCTTCTTCTTCATCAATCTCAATTAATTCCTCATCTAAAAATGCCTTTAAGTTATCATAACCTGGACATTTGGCACATCTATGAACCATGCATTCATTATTGCTTGTATCACATACTAATTTTGACACTAAATCTTTGTATGTAACATTCCATTGGACAGCATTTACAAGCAATATTGAGTTTTGATGGTAAATACAAACACATACACAGTGTGTACCATTTGGTCCCACACTAATACACCATTTTGGACGCAAACTACAAAACTTTGAAAATCCTATTTTATAATTAGGGTATTTACTTTTAAAATCAATATAAAGCTCATGAAGGTTGCACAATAATAATTTTTTTTGTTGTGGAGGACCACTTTTAACTTTAACACAATCTTTTTTACCAGGCATAATTCTAGAATGTTTATCTTGTTGAAAAAAATCTTGAACCAAAGCTGTAAGAAAGTCAGGTATTTTTTGGCCTATTTTCTTATCCGGTATAGCAAGAATTCCATTTTCACTTTTAAGTTTCCTAGCACGTCGTATAAGATGTTCAGAAACTTCAAAATATTCTGAAGCGTTTTTTCTAGACCAAGATTTAGGTGTAAGTGTTAATATTTGAATTTTTTTTTTAAATGGTTCAACTTTATGTTTTTCTTTCATTAAAGTTGTCAAATGATCAAGATCATTTGCTTTTTTTTTATCCATAGATTGACTGGAAAAAGTCGAGGCTACACTTAAATTATCTATATTTACTCCATAAGCACTTGCTACACCTTCTTCCATTTTTGTGTAGGCTTTGACTAATTTTCTTTTTGCTGTTACAACTCGTTGATGCTTTGCGACACCATGAACTTTAATTGGTGAGACTTCAATTGATATTAAAGAGTTGTCTAACTGTTGTTTATTACAAGATTTATCTTTAACAAATAATACATCACCATCAATTTCACTATCCATTTCATTATCAGAAACTTCATCGCGACTTGACAAAAACTGAATACATGAGCGACAAAATTTCCATCCTGATTTACAGTCTAGATTTTTGGATTTAAGGTTATGAGCCATTTCAAGAGATATGGTTGTTTGACCTAAAATAAAATCATTAATTTTAAATAAACATACACTGCTTCTAAATTTATATATATATATATATATATATATATATATATATATATATATATATATATATATATATATATATATATATATATATATATATTATATTATATTATATTAATTTATATAATATATATATATATATATATATATATATATATATATATATATATATTATATTATAATAATTTATATAATATATATATATAAGTTAATATATAATAAATAATTATATATATGCAGTAGTTGTGTAGTGGTAGACCGCTCGGTTCATAAGCGAGAGGTTCCGAGTTTGATCCCCACCACGTCCCTGGTAGTACCGCACTCAACTTGTTTCTCTGTACAGCGGCCTTATTTGTCAAGGTTCGTGTTTTGGAGTTATAGAGTCAAGAGATGGTTATAACCATAAATAAAGTAGCCTCCTCGTCTGTAGTGGCCTTCTCGGCCTTGAGGAGGTGAATTATCAAAAAATATATATTACCTTTAACCTTCTTTTTGTGTCTTTTTAAAACATCGCAACACTTATCATTCTTTAGTAGAAATATCGGTCCAAAAACCTGCTTATGATGATAACAAATAGACTTTATCTCTTCGTATGATGTAGTCTCAAGCAAACCAGACCTCCAAATATAAGTATCTTGAAAGTCCTTTTCTAGATTACAAAAATCTTTTAATCCTTGTTTTCGAACAAAACATATTTTGTGACATTCATCTTTTAAAACTTTTCCAAACCCACAAGATTCCATTTTATCAATATACCATTATTATTTCTAAAAAAGATGCAAGAAAAATCTATGATTCATTCAATGTGTTCATGGGGTCAAAGTTGTTTAGGATTAGAAATTTAAACTTAATTAGTAAGCATTCTAACTTTAATTTTACAACCTTATAAACATTTCTAAACCATAAAACTACTAAAAAAATAGAAAGAGCAATTCAACAACATCTAAAAGAACATTTCGATATAGCCAAAACTGTTTCAGCTACAGAACTTTCAAATTATCACATCTTTTTGTATAGTTTAATTTATCAAAATACCTGTTTTTTTAGCAATAAATTTAAGTAGATTTGACCATATTTTTATTTCTGTTTTAGAAAAGACCACTCTCCAATTTTTTGTAGTAACTATAGCTTAACTATTATGAACAACTTCTTAAAAAAAAAAAAAAATCTAGCTACATCGGCATTTTTGTGATCGGACTCGCCCCAGTAAAATTGTGGTAAACGTTCAAATTTTAGGTGTTATGCTTGTTTTTAAATATTTTAAGTTGTTTCATTGGATTCGTTGGCCCAAAATATGTAAAGGTACAAATTTTCAGCTTTCCAACACACATATACCAGAAACTAGGACCAAAACCATTTTTAATAATGGCGGATTTTTGTTGGTTGGAGGCAAACTTAAAATAGCTATATCTTAGGAACCGATTGAAATTAGACGATAAAATTTTCAGGATGTTCATAATTTACTAAAATCTTTAAGTGGTTTAAAAATCAGCAAAATCTGAGACTTAGGGTTGCATGCCCTGGATGTTTTCACATGGAATCTCCCTACAATAAAATACAATTATTTATTTTGAACACTTTATTTTGAACATTTTGAATTCAATATTTTTTTTTTTTTTAAAAGAAAACCAAAGAATATATACTTGTCTGTTTGTAAAACTCTCTTAGAGAATTTAGAGCCTTTATTAATACTTTTTATTTTAATTTACATTCTCTTCTTTTATATATTATATCAAGTTAATTATTTTTAGTAAAAATATTAAAGAAAGGCTACATAATTAAAAAGCTTTTTATTACAAAATTTTTTGCTAAATAAACTTAGTTACTCCACGCAGCGTCCTTGCTTGTCAAGGTTTGTGTTTCAGAGTTTAAGAGTTGAGACAGGGTTGTACCACGATTAACAACAAAAAATAAAAATAAAATCACAAAAAAATGAGTAGTCTCTTCGACTATAGTGGCCCCTCAGCCTTGGGAAGGTAAATAATGTAAAAAAAAAAAACTTCTAACAAATGCAACTTGTCAAAAAAATGAAACGATTCGTTGACCAATCTAACTAATTAAAGACACATCTAGTTATAGACTTTAAGATTGATTTTGATTTAAGTTAGACTAAAGCACATCATAGACATTAAATTTGATGTTTTCAATATGGATATGAATATTAATGTAAAAAAAAAGGGGGCCCGCCAAAAAAAAATTCCCCGAGGTCTGTCTTGGTTTTCTACGACCCTATTTATTTATATTTATATATATATATATATATATATATTTATATATATATATATATATATATATATATATATATATATATATATATATATATATATATATATATATATATATGTATATTATTCAAAGTCGTTGTAGCAGGAAATATAAATATAAATATATATTTATATTTCCTGCTACAACGACTTCGAATACTGCTGCTAGTTAATTTTAAACGTTAATTTCTGATTATTATTTTTTTTGTTTTCTATTCAAAAATAATAAATTACTCTTTTATTTTTATTTATAGTCATCTGAAGCTGATCATTTTAAGAATAAGTTTCCTGGTAAAGGTGCACCAAAACAAACCGATTTTCTTCGTAAGCGATTGCAAGGAAAGAGTGGCGTATGTTTTTTTTATATTTTTATCAAGTCAACTTTATTCAAATTTAATGTCAACTTTATCTTGTCAAAAATTTAATGTCAACTTTATCTTGTCAAAAATTTAATGTCAACTTTATCTTGTCAAAAATTTAATATCAACTTTATTTTGTCAAAAATTACAAAACAACTATTACAGTAGAGTCGTTTTTTTAGTCTATCGTAAACCCACATAATTTAAAATAATCTTATGAAAATAATTTTATGAACATTGTGTTTGTAGGGAAAGTACTTTGATTCTGGCGACTATAATGTAGCAAAGAGTACTAAAAAAAAAGATGCAACTATTATTACTGGAAAAGCCATTCCTACACCAGAAGTAATTCCTCATCGCAAACCTTCGAGCTCTCAAAGTAATTTACTTGGTGTACCTGATCATACTTTAGAAGAAAAGAAAGTTGAAGTAGAAAATGAAGAAGCTAAAAATGCAGAATAAACTTGGTTTTGAGATCTGCAGTTTAAGAAAATATCTTATAGAGTTAAGAAAAAATTGTAAATAATTTTTTTCCATTTGTTTTATTTTTATTTCTATTGGAGTTAAAAAAAATACGATAACTTGTAACGGTTACGGATGTTCGTTCAATTTTAGTGTTTTTGCATCATTAACGAAGCTTTATTTCCGTTACGAATTTTTATTCGTTGTATTTGATTTTTTGTTTTTTTATATTGGGTATTATTCTAAAATTAGTAATTCCAATTTTTGTTTCGTTTCAGTCAAAAAAAAATTTTTTCCTTTTTTTCTTGTGCTTTTTTAACTATACATTTATTAATCTGTATTTTTAAAAAATGCATAATTTACTAAAGCGTATTTTATGCTTGTTTCTATGGAAGTAAAACCTAACACAGAACGTTCAGTGAAATATCACTTCTAAAGCGCGTTAATGTGAGCTTCTATGGAAGTAAAACTTAACAAGGAACATTAGAACTTTTAAACCGTATATTATGCTAGTTTCTTTGGAATTTGACGACTAGTAACTAAATTTAAGTTCTATTAGAAGCTTGTATTCATTTTGAAGCCATCTTTATTCAGCTTTATGGAAATGGGTAAAGTTTCACTATAATTTATAAAAAAAAACTTCAGAGCAAATTCAGATTATTCTAAGTATCTAAAATCTGATAAATAATTCATGCAATGAATTATTAATCAGATTTTAGATACTTAGAATATTAGTATTTTTAACCTTTTATTTAAAATACATAAAAGATTTTAAATTAATCCAAACTAGACTACAGTTGATAAAAATAAACTGTTTTAGTTGGAGAAATAAAAAGGTTCCGGAACTCATCTGGCAAAAAGTACCAAAATATGCTTTTAATATTATTTTAAAAATTTTATACTGTTAAATATAAAATTTTATATTTAATATATGTTGTTACGATATCACCTATATAATTATAAATGATATTGTACGTTTTTTTTTTAAAGAATTCCGTATGTTTTTACAATTATTGTCAGTCTAGACACATTTAAAGATCACTAAAAAAAGGATCTGGAACGCAGTTTTGGTAAATGTAAATAAAGGGGTTGTCCATTAATTACGTCAACAAAATAAGGGCAAGGGGAAGTCTGAACTTTTTTGGCAATTGTTGACACGGGGAAGGAGAGAAGGTCAATTAAAGTTGACGTCAACAGTTTTTTTTTTTTAATTGCATTGCTTAAATAACGGAAAATTAGGCTGAGTTTGTAGCGTAGTTTCTTTGTATAGGAGGGGGGGGGGTATCAAAAGTTGACGTAATTTTATAGGGAGGGGGGTCCATGGAAATTTGACAAGGGGAGGTAAAATTTTCAAAAAATTTGTTGGCGTAGTTAATGGACAGCCCCAAAAGCACTGTTTCTCCATTAAAATAAACCGTATTTTGTCATTTTGGTAAACATGAATTTTTCTGACGATTTATTTTATTAAACCAATATATAAATAAGGTCACCGTGGTTCTTAATATTAAAAAATCAGCTGATTCATTATAAGTTAAAGCTAAGATGGTTTATAAATATAACTTTAAGTGTGTTAATCCTAAGGATTGTAACAGTTATTCAATTAAGTTTGCTTTATTTTAATGACTACAAATTGTTTTTCATCAGATAATAATAAGTGTATTATCAAAGAAGTTGGTCGTCACAAAACCAGACAACTCCTTCCCCTTAGACGTAATTTATGGACGACCCCCTACTTGTAATAAATGTTTTACATACAACTCGGAATTAATTTTGTGTGTGTTTAAGGTGGCTAATAAGTTTAAAAAACCAAAATTATGTTTTTAATGTTAACTTCTTTGAAAATTATTATTGAATCAGAATAATACATATTTGCTAATTGCTAATCTGTGGATAAAAAAATAGCTTTTGAAATGCTCAAAAAAAAAAAGCAAAAGCTGTATAATAAATTCTTTAAAAATAAAAACACAGAAAATAAACAAAATTATAAAAAAATTAAATTTAACTCATAATAAAAAACAAACTCAAAATAAGCCCAATATAAAAAATTAAACATAACAAGCAGCATAATAATTAAAATTGATAAGAAAAATCAAGTTTTTTTTTTTGTGTGTGTAATAAACAATTTTTGATATATTGTTTGAGAAAGGTGAGTCATTTAGATAACACACATAAACGAGTCAGTTCACTTTGTAGTTAATATATATGTAGTTTAATTTATAGTCTTAGAAGAATTCAGAGTATCTGTTTAGATTCAGTATCAGATTTTTTAACTTTGTTTTCAAGGAATTTTGATTATCTAGATTGCAAATTGATTTATTTTTAGTTACTAGTTTGTTGTATAAATAAGGACCCCAATATAAAATTGAGAACTGGGAAAGTTTTTTTTTTTTTGAAAGGTATAATAAAGTTTCCTGTTTCTCTTGTGTTATATTTATTAACGTTGTTTATAAAAAAGATATTTAAAAAATGGTTTGTTACTTGACCTAATTTAAATTTGAGCATAAACAATGTATTTTGGTGAATGTTAACTTGATAAATGTTAAGCTCATTCGTTTCTTTAAATAAGGGTTTAGCGTGTGTAAATTTCTCTTTATGGTAGATTAGTCTTACAGCATGTTTATGACGTCGATATAAAGTTTTCAATTTGCTTATATGCCAAGCTATATTTGCATATATGAGGTAGCTATTTATAAAAGAAAAATATATAAGTTTTGAGTTACTTTGCGACAGCATAGTTTTTGCTTTATAAAGTAGACCTATGTTTTTTGATATTTTAGTGTTTAGAGCATTTATGTGAGTTTTCCAAGATAAATTTTCATCAATTATAACTCCTAAAAATTTAGTTTCGTGAGTTCTCTCAATTACTACATTTTCTATTTTTAGAGAGGGTATAATATTTGGTAGTGTGTTAATAATTACAAAAAACAATCTAATAGTAAAAAAAACATGGTTCATTTTTAATGGCAATCGGAAAAGATAAAAATATTGCATCTTCCCTATCTTAGAGAACTAATATCAAAAACACTAATATATTCTGTCAAAACTTAATCTCTAAAGAGTTTAATAAGTATTTTTCAAGTGTCGGTCCAAAAATTGCCATTAAAATACCACCAACATTAGAAACATTTAAAATCTACCTAAAAATTTTAATTATAATGTAATTTTCAGTATGTATTTATGTATTCTTTTTTATTGTATGTGTATTTAAACGTTTATTGTAAAAATAATATTTATACCATGTTAAATAGAAAAAAAAAAAAAAATTCTATAACAACGCCTCTAGCATTAACAATTTTTTTTTAGTTAACTATTCTATATTTAGTATCTAATTGTTTTTGCAATCATTATTTTGATTTATTGAACCTTATTTTGATTTATTAACTTTTGTAACATATATTATTAATATGTTTTTTACAGAATACTTTTTTTCGAACTTATACAAAACTTAAAGCTGAAACTGAAAACTTTAAATTTTCAAAGTGTGCTTTTTATAAATGACATGAGGAACTGAATTACATAAAACTCATACTTTAAAGGTGAGTTTCCACTCATCCGTTTTTCTACGGGAAAGGGAAAGGGAACGGAAAAATAATCACGAAAGCATGCGCAGTTTACTTTCGGACAAATAAAAACTTTTGTTACGCATGCTCACGTGATTATTTTTTCCTTTCCCTATCCCGTTTCCGTTGAAAAACGGATGAGTGGAAAATCGCCTTAAGTTTTGATCAGTTATCTTAAATAAAAAATTCTTTTCGCTTTAACCGCGATTTTTGATTTGAAACTTTTTATCAAAAGTTTTTGCTGATGCAGCAAAAAAAAAAAATATTTCTTTAAATTTTTAAAGTAAAAAATAATTATTCTTTCCATTTACAAATGTTTGGAAACAGCAATAAATTGAAAGTTATTTGTTTATTGGTTTTCCCATATGTTACGTAATTATTTAAGTAGTTTTTGATTTATTTTCATTTTAAAATGATAAAGCACTATTTACTACATTGCATTTTTAAAATAGAATATTGATTTTATTTTTAAAATAACTATCAATTAGTAATTCGCTTTTCAAAAAGAAAACAAATCGGAAAATTTTCCTATTTAACCCCTCCCCCTCACCACCACCACAATCCCCTCAATAAAATGTCGCCTGATGGAGGCTATGAAATGATATGTATTTTTTTAATTCATATATACGGATAATTATTAAAAATCGTTTAAACTTTAAACGAATTCAGTTATTAAAATGCATAAGTATTTTGAAAACTTTTAATGATATTGTTTGTTTTGATTTAAAAAATTAGATTTATTTTTTTCATGCAAAACCTCTTGATCCTTTCAATGCTAAACAAGTATGCAGTGTTATACTGTTGTAGCATTACTAACATTTTCTTCATAGATTTACTTCAAGGACACTATTATGTCAATGAAAACTTTTTCCTTTTTACATTGCAAATCTAAAGGGTTTTTAAAGGTTCTGCGGAGGTTTTCAAAGAATCATAAGGTTCTTAGAGCCGACATAAAAAACCCGTGGGTTCTTTGCATAAATAAATGGTTTTTTAAAGAACCAGGTTGTTAAAGCAAATATGTGATGGTTCACATTATTTGCTCTAACAACCTGGTTCAACCAGGTTGTTGGAGCAAATATGTGATGGTAACAATTTGCTTTTAGTGTAGAAGAAGAAATCAAAATTAAAAACTTTGGTTTCCAATTTATGTAGAACAATGCAAAATCAAGTTATGTTATTAGAAATTATCTCATAACACCACCTGCACTACAAGAGGTTTATTTAAGGTAAGACATAAACGATGACATTATCAATTTTACGTTATATATATATATATATAAATATATATATTTTATTTATTTGAGTTTTCATGCTATATTTTTCTATACAATGTTTTTATATCCGAAGATATTGTTAGCTTAGCATAGGAACAGCCACAAATAGTCATTAAGACTAATCCAAAGTAGCGTCCGTTATTGACCAACATTTTTGCGTACCGAAGTACTACTCAAGCGCTGAGTTGGCGGTGGCGGGATTTGAACTCGTATCGTTCAACAGTCCGGGTTTTAACTTTTCTTTTAACGCTCTAACCATCTGAGCTATCCCGTCATATATATATATATATATATATATATATATATATATATATATATATATATATATACATATACATATACATATATATATATATATATATATATATATATATATATATATATATATATATATACATATACATATACATATACATATACATATACATATACATATACATATATATATATATATAAATATATATATATATATATATATATATATATATATATATATATATATATATATAATATATATATATATATATATATATATATATATATATATATATATATTCATTTATATACTCCACTCATCGTTTTTGATTTTTTCAAACCACCCTTATTTAAGTAGAGGTTGGATACAATTATTTTTTTACGCATTTTATTTTTTACAATTATTTAAAACCTGCCTACAAATGATCAATCAGGATACACAAAAACTATTAAAATGTCAGTGCAAAAAGTTATTAACTGTGCAAAAAGTTATTAATTTTGATTAAAAGTTATTTACAAGATACAGTTGCTACGGTTACAGGTGTCAATAATTTATAATCTAATTTTAGCAAGATTCAGTGGCTAAGTTACGGACATTGATCACTTAAATTTTATTTTGACATAAGTTTCAAAAAAAGTTGAAGAAACTTAGGGAAAAGGGCCCCTTAGGGAAAAGACCCTCTGTCTGTGTGGGACCCTAGGCTTTGCCTACTCCTAGTATATGTTAGCTACACTGCATATAAAAATTTAATTGATTAGTTTTAATATATAAAATATTATTTATTTATTTATTAATTATTATTATTTATATATTAACAAACACTGAACTTGACGTATTAATAAATTTTAATATATAAAGTTCAAACAATATAATCAATTCCTGATCATTGCGCCTCGCTGTCTTGAGACATATATAACACGTTAAAAAGAATCTAAAAAAATGTTTTTCCTGCAGCATATTTAGTGTTAATCTTACAACGATGACGTCGTTTACTTTTATGATAATTATGATTCATGGCTCATAATTAAGATATGTAAAGATTAAGATATGTAAAGATTAAGATATGTAAAGATTAAGATATGTAAAGATTAAGATGTGTAAAGATTAAGATATGTAAAGATTAAGATATGTAAAGATTAAGATATGTAAAGATTAAGATATGTAAAGATTAAGATATGTAAAGATTAAGATATGTAAAGATTAAGATATGTAAAGATTAAGATATGTAAAGATTAAGATATGTAAAGATTAAGATATGTAAAGATTAAGATATGTAAAGATTAAGATATGTAAAGATTAAGATATGTAAAGATTAAGATATGTAAAGATTAAGATATGTAAAGATTAAGATATGTAAAGATTAAGATATGTAAATATTAAGATATGTAATAATTAAGATATGTAAAGATTAAGATATGTAAAGATTAAGATATGTAAAGATTAAGATATGTAAAGATTAAGATATGTAAAGATTAAGATATGTAAAGATTGGATAAAGTGAAAGTTTTGATTTTTTGAAGACGTCTTTGGTGTTTTGTGCGATACCTTATATTATAAGAAATATTAGGCATAAATGTTCTTGGTTACAATTTATCTAACTGACTGAGGTAAATTAAGATCACGGAGCCACGGAAGTTATCTTTGAAGTATACTTTTAACCGTTACAAATAAATAAATTGAAAAAACAAAAAAAAAAACAATTAAGTTTATAAAATTTTTAAAGTTAAAAAGATCAAATAAATTATAACAAGAAAAATATGATACATTTCAAATATTAAAATGTTACCTTTAAAAATATTTTTTATTTGTAATAAAACAATTGTTAGTACTAGGTACCAAAAAATTTCAAGTAACGAAGAGTAACAACTACCAATAATAGAATTTAAGAAATCCTCGCACAACAAACTAATTTTTTTCTGCAGCTTGACGACGTCTACAAAAACAAGCAACTTGATTCTGATTAATACATTTTAGTTGAATGCATTCTATTGTATACCTGACGTATAAGCATATCGTACATGACGTTGTACGTCAAAAAATAAACCTCCGTGCAACAATTATTTCATTGAAATGTCAGACTTTGGTGACTTAGAAACGACAAAAGATGTATCCTTCATGGTTTTTTGTAACTTTTTATTGGCTTCCATTAAAGCATCACGGTTAAATTCAACGGGAGCATCATTAGTATTAATAACAGGTACTTCAATACCTAAAATATCAGGTATCATATATGGTTTTAGCCAACCGACTAAAGGATTTCTTCCAGGTCTATATTGTGATAGTCGATGATAAAATAGCACGCCATCTATCTGCAATATAAAACAATTGTTTCGAAATTTATGATTTATAAAAATATTGGTAAAACAATTAAAAAAACAAGAAGTAAAAAAAATATTGTGTTATTCCTTGTTTTATAGTGAAGAGATTATGTGACCTTTAAACAATGTTACAACATGTATATAATTGCTTTGCAGCAAATAAAAATTTTAAGAGACGTTAAAGCAGTAACAAAGGCAGGCTTTTTTGACGTTACAGATAGACATTGTGTAAAATGTAAACTCAAGTATGTTTATACTTATGTCAAATGAAATGTTTTGCAAAAAAAAGTGGTGTTTAGAGACTGGGAACAAAACTGCCCCTCTTCCTTCCCCTAACAAGAGGGCAGTTAGTTAATAAATGATAAATTTTACCATACTAAATTTACTATCATCAACAAGTTTTAAGTTTTATTTAATAACCTTTTATTGTTCAAAAATTGATACGACCGTGCAAAAATTGCGCCCTTCCCAAAATGCGGGGTTGTAAACTTTAGATGGTTTTTTAAAAACTAAAAAAATTTAAAATGTTTTTTAAAACCTGTCTATAAATTTAAGGTAATTTGCAAAAATTATTTTTTTATTGAATCGATGCCCTCGTATTAAGGGAAGGGGAAGCAAACATTTGGGGCAGTTTTGTTTGCAGGCTTTAATTATTGTAATTTTTTGCAAAACATTCTTTTTTGACATAAATATGAACATACATAAATTTGCAATTTACACAATGCCTCAAAAAGCCATATCTGAAACATCAAAAAATCCTGCTTGCACTACTGCGTTGAAAGCTACATATTGTAACTTTGTAGATAAACAACTTAAAACAACCTAAAACAATACTTACATTTTGTTAATTTTTTCAAACGATGTTAAAAAATGTTTATAAACATTTTGTTGATTTTGTCAAACGATGTTAAAAAATGTTTATAATCAAATATTGTAGATATTGATGACTTGAAGACGTAATCTTGTTATCCAACAATATTAATGTTTTAATCTACTAATCATAATTTAAAAACACATATTATAACTCAATTTAAATGAGGAGCAGCTCGCACAGCTCCCCAAGTTCGTTATAGGAGAGCTTTACTCTGCTCTTCAAAACTAAGTTAAAAACAACCAAGTAACTTACAAATTTGTAAAGTTTGTTTAAATAAAGTTACAGGTCCGTATTCAGTATTATTTGGTCTTCGAGATATCTAACTTCCAGACATAATGCAAACTCCAAACATTTATGTTTATACTTATGTCAAATAAGGATGCTTTGCAAAAAATTGCGATGATTGGAGCTTGGAAACAAAAAAAACTAAAAATATGTGCTCCCCCAGCCCAAAATGTGAGAGCAACAAGTTGATGAAATATTTTTTGTAGTTTTTTTAACTAGACTTATATTTATCGACAAATTTTAAATTTCATAGTAAAATATTTCAGCGTTCAAAAATTATAACAATATAAAATTTGCGACCCCCTCAAATTGAGGGGGGTTTAAACTATATATGGTCAAAATTTTTGAACGCTGAAATATTTTGCTATAAAATTTAAAATTTATCGATGAATATAAGTCTATTTAAAAATAGTACAAAAAATATTTCATCAACTTGTTGCTCTCACATTTGGGGCAGGGGGAGCACATATTTTTAGTTTTATATATATATATATATATATATATATATATATATATATATATATATATATATATATATATATATATATATATATATATATATATATAGTAAGTTTTTTATTGCTCTGTTCATCAAGAACATTGAGCACTCTATTTGAAGAATACACTAACACAATTTATATATATATATATGTTCAAAATTATATGTTCAAATATTCAAGTTTAATCTTAAAATGTCATAATGAAATCAAAAGTCTTTTGAAATGTTTTTATTAACACGCAATAACAGTTGTTGTTTAAAGTGTTCATCTGTCATTGTTGTACGATTTAGCCTAAAAACACTCCCTGCTACACTAAACAGGTGTTCACAATTTGCACTAGCAGGCAATACAGTGTTTAATTCTAGAAAGATGATCTTCAGGGGTTTAGAGTTAGAAAGGTCATCAAATGAGGTGTTTACATTATTTGCATAAATTAGCAAATCCTGTGATTGAAAGTGAAAAAATTATTATCGGATGTTGTTGCTTCATCCACAGACTTGAAATGATAGCATCACTATAGGTTACCTTTAGTTGTTGATATTATTTTTCCAGAAAATCCAGACCAACATTTTTTTATTTTCACTATCATTTATCCATGCTGTTTTAAATTTTGGGTGAATAACTGCTGCAACTATTAATTCTGGGCTCATCATGTAATGACTGAATCTGTCAATAAGGGTACAGCGAGAATTTTTTTTTACACTAAGTACTTGAAGTATGAATTTTGAAAAAAGGAGATTTTAAGGTGTCAATCTTAGCAACAACAACTTATTTTTAGTATATGAACAAGTAAAAACAGGTACTTGTACTTCTTCATTTTTCCATTTAACTAGCTCTTGAAGAACAGTTGCTGCAAAGTTCAGTTTAGGTACTTTGTCTTGGTCCTATTTGCATATCTCCAAGTATGTCATTACCTCTTTGTTTCAAAATATGGTCAACTGCAAAGTTGCGGTTTTTTGCAGTATTACTGGATAACAAAAAGATTAAAATACTTTCATGGTTTGCTTACCAAGCTCCTAACAGTGTATAAGGAGTCACAATTTCTTTTACCCTATCAGCTTGATTTCTGAGAATTCTCAATTGAGAAAGAATGTGATAAGGAGCATCTTCAAGTTTGTCTTTTACTTATTTTTTCAGTCAAAAAAGGTTTATAGTAAAATTGTAAACAGAATAACTCTAGATTCTTCAAATTCTGCTCAGTTAAATCATGTTTCCTTGTCCACATAAAGACTATTCTTATGCCAATAGTGAGCTATCTGATATGATTTAAGGGGCCACATAGAATTTCTATTAGATTAGGTGGCAGCACACCAATCCTAACTGCTTTACATAGCTTGTAGGATTGTTTTGATATGTTGACATATTTTTGTCATATTGTTTTGATATGTTGACTATTTTTAGTATTGTCAAAAAAGCTCTCTCTGTTTAGAACAGCCATGAGTTGAGGATTATTCTCCAATTTATTAACACCAGAAAGAAACTTTCCCACAGGACCTACAAATCCAATACTACATGATGTTGGTCCATCAAATCCTTCTATTAGGTGATGCAAAAATAACTCATTTGATTGAAGTATGCATATGGCCCAGTGGCACTTGTAATCTAACAGTTTTTCAAGATGGCGCTAAAGCACCACCTTTCCAGCCGGCATTGATTGAAGTACTATTTGCTCCAAGTACAAAACATTATTCAGTAAGATTGTATTGTTTAAGAAAAAAAAATAAACACATTAGGCAATCTTTTTAGTTGGCTTGTCTGGATGAATAGGTGCATCCGGGGTAAAATGACCAAGATATCGATCGCCAGGTTCATAAGTCACAGTAATGTGTTGTTCTTCGATAATAATAGGACGTAACTGTGCGTTTTAATAATATATAATTGCTCTTGTTAAATCTTTCCTTCAATCAAAGTATACACCAATATAATCTGCATTTGGAGATCGTTTCACACCTTTAAACTGATCCTTACCAGAGCAAAATAAAAGAGAAAGCGCACCAAGTAGATAAATCTTACCATTAATATTTAAAAGAACTGCTAATATCTTATTTTTAATCTTTTTTCCTTTTTTAATTCAAATAATGATTTGCCACTAAATTGAATGATTTCAAATTTAATTTTAAAATTTCGAGGCTTTTAAAGCTTTAATAACATTGCTTGTTTACTTATTAAATAGATCATCCTAATCATATTTTAAAAATCCGGAAAATTGTTTGAATAAAATATCCGGAAAAAATCGGGAATTTGTTTTCCCTTATTTTCTTTTTAATTTCGCTTTTGGCTAAGTTATTTTTAATTTTTTTATTGACACTTTTCATAATTTTTCTATGAGTGGTGAGTGAAAAAGCTTAAAAAACAAATATATTACAAAAATATATACCTCAACATGCATGTATTGAAAACAAGCATGTATTGAACAAGCATGTATTGAAAACAGTTTGAATATCTGGAAAAACTAAAAGTTCAAAAAAATATCCGGAATTCCGGAAATATCTGGAAAAAGATAATCCCTGTTATTAATAAGTTTACTTTTTTAAGAAGCTGCTGAAATACTTCAATGTAATTTAATTATATCACCACCACCACCACCACCAGCTTTATAAACAACAAAAGTCACAACTTTTTGAAAAACCGCAGAAGTTATATAACTGACAGATGCTGCAAAAGCAACACTATCACTATAAGTATCTTTAGGATTTGTGCATGTAATTGACATAACAAAATTCCTTTCCCTACTCATAGTTAGGGCAATTTTAAAATATTATAGCTAAATTTTTTCCATTAAATGATCAGGTCTGTGAATTGAATTATAAAAAGACGAAAAAAATTAAAATCTTAAAATTTGTCTATAACATAAAATAAATATGTTTATAGCAAAAAAAAACCAGACTGAAGATTTTTTTTTTTTTTAATTTAAATAAGATTTTAAATAAATACATTATTTAGGTGAAATTTAGTTTTTAGGTGAAATGAACATTATAGTTTAATAATATGATCTGTTCAGGTCATTTATTGGCAATTTTTTCTTAATTTATAATTAAATTAAGAAAAATTGCTCTTTACTGATCGGATTTTTTTATGAAAATTGATAGAAATGTTGTGTTTTGACAATTATTTTCAATTAATATGTACTAGAACAGAATAGAGCTAGGATGTATAGTAGATTAAAACACCTTTTCAAAAAAATTTAATAAAAATTAAATTAATGCTGTTGAGCAGAATTTAAATAAAGACTCAAAAACGGTGTTCTTTAGATTCATAAAAAAATTATAGCATTTAATGCTCTTGTTTAGACATAAAACGCTGAGAAATCATGCTAATTCCAAATAAAAGAATTTAAACAATTTATAAATTGCCTTAACTAAATGGATAGGTTTAAAGTCTGAATCATTTGATGTTTCATTTTTATCTGAAAATTTCCTGTTCTAAATTTGTTTAACATTCAGAGTATTGTGTTTTCTTCAGAAAGTTTTTTTTTTCAAGTACTTTCTCTAGATATTATAATAAGCTTTTTTATAATCTCTCATGACATTCTACTATATTTTTTATCCTCAGTTCCAGGAATAAACTTTCTATGGATTTCTTGATCATTCAAAAACTTCAAATCTTCAATTTTATCTTACCTAATCTTTTCTTGTTCATCATTATGGTGTCTCTAAGATTCATCGTCATTATGATGTCTCTAAGATTTGAACAATCTAAAACATTTTTTTCAACTTCTGTTAACAAATTACTTTGTCTATTTAAATCTGAAATTAATCTTCTCTTTTCATGTTGTTTTTTTTTTTGTTTTGTTTTTAATTTTTTATTATTTTTAAATTGTAATATTTTTTTCCAGATTTCTTTATTATTTACATATTTATTTAAAAAAATATATAATATTTTAAAAAGGTGATGATAGTGATAAAACTAAAGAACGTATGTATGCAAATAAAATTTACAGCATTTTATTTGAGTATCAGGTAGTTTTTCATTTGATTTAAATGAAAAACTACCTGATGATGTTGGTTTAGCTTCTCCAGGAAAAAAAAACTCTTTCCTTGACTTAAAATCTCTTTCTTTATCACTGTTTTTAAATTACAATTTAAAATAAACCTGCATAAATGTTTAAAACAAAAATTAAAAAAATATACTTGTAAACCGTTACTTAAAATTAAACCATGATTTAAAATTAAATGGGCCCTGGGGAAAGCACAAAAGTATCCAATCAGGCTAACAATTCTTTTTTAATACCAATTACCCACATTTTTAATACAAAAAAAAAGAGATAATAAAACAAATATTTATTTGCGAGACCCAAATTTATCTGTTTCAAGGACAAGGTATCTTCTCCGGAAAAAAAGCAAACCTACTCACTCAAAACACCATATTGCTCTTACTACATTACCAGAAAATGTTAAGTTTATAAATAAGCCTCCTGTTAAAAAGGCTCTAATAAAAAATGTGGTCAGTGTTAAACACAAAATTTCTTTAAAAGAAAGTAACCTAACATGCATAACATTTTTTATTCATTTCCCACCTTTAAACCCATTGCATAAACTATTCAATCGAAACACTACAAAAATTAGCTACAGCTGCTCAAACAACATTTCCAAAATCATAAAAAGTCACAAAAAAAAAAAAATTTAATTAACACGACTGAAAATGTCCCTTGTAAAATTGCAATTGTAAACAAAAAGAAATCTGCCTGCTGAATAAAAATTGTAGAGCGACAAGCATAACTTACAAATGTATAACATCTTCCCCAAACACGCCCAGCAAAGCATACATTGGTTTATTAGAAGGAGTGTGGAAAAAGTGGTATGCAAACCACAAGCAATCATTTAAAAATAAGAAACTTTCAAATGCAACCACTTTTTCAAAACATATATGGGAAACTAAAGAAAAACTGAAAGAAACACCCGAATTAACTTGGTCTAAAAAAATCCTAAAAAAAGCCCCCGCCTACAACAATACAACAAAAAAATGTTTACTTTGTTTATACGAAAAACTAATCATTTTACTTTATAAAAATGCTGAAGAGCTACTTAATAAAAAAAACTTTTATTAATTTCCAAGAGTCATCATGAAAATAAATTTCTATTAAGCAAACACAAATGTGAAGATTAGATACACGCGGTCGTAAGAATAAAAAAAGTTTTTTCCGTATAGATTTTTTCTGTATAGTTTCAATTGTATATAACTTTTAAACGAACAAACTATATTTGTATTTCACCTGATGATTGTAACAGCATGAAACCTAAAGTTGTGAAAATCACGTAGTTTTATTTTCTATTATATATATATATAGGGTAAGGCGGGGCAAGTTCGTCATGTTTTGCTTTAACAAAATGAGATTGCATATAAATCAGTAAACTTTTCTAGTTTAAAAGCATTTTTTTATTAATTAAGGTCTCTCCTTTTTTAATGTATTGAATCAAAATAAATTCTAAAGTTACTTTAGTGTAGAACTTGATTTTTTCATCATCAAGTCATGAGGAGCTAATTTGTCAATTACGGGGGAAACTCATCAATACAAATTAATTGAAAAATATGTCACTTGGGCGATAGACGAAATTCCTTATTAGTGGTAAAGACAACTTACCTAAAAAAAAATTTGATATAAAGCATTATTTTTGGAGTAATAGTAGGATGATTTCCATAATCTAAAACAGTAAACCCCTAAGTGATGTAGATAGAACTACTGATAGCCTACAGATAACTATACATAGAATTAACATCAGATAAGATAGAATTACTGAAAGTCAGTTTCCTGATTTCTAAAACATCTAAAAGGATGTCATTTGGTAATCTTTTTCTAGAAAATACCAAATAATGATTTTGGCATAAATGAAAACCGTCTAATAGCGCTAGTGCACAAAATAACACATTAAAGCAATAACAAAAATTATATCACTATGACTATTTAAAAACTTACAAGACGTTTATATGTCCTTTGCACACATTTTCCATATGTATCAACTCCAAACACCCTTCACATGCCAACTTAAACATTTAATCCAATCTTCATTTGCTTCTCCCCAAACTACACAAACACAACAAAAGTCTTTATCAGAGTTATTTTTTAGAATAAAACCACTAGATGAACTTGGGTGATCAGAATCAGCTGAAAAATAAGTCTTCTTTATTTTTGTTTCGACTGATTTATCTTTTTTTATTTTGACTCCTGTTTAACACTGACCACATTTTTTATTAGAGACTTTTTAACAGGAGGCTCTTTTATAAACTTAACATTATCTGGTAATGTAGTAAGAGCAATATGGCGTTTTGAGTGAGTAGGTTTGCTTTTTTTCCGAAGAAGATACAATAGTCCTTAAAACAGATAAATTTGGATCTCGCAGATAAATTTTTATTTTATCACCTTTTTTTTTTTGTATTCAAAGTCTTTCACTGTATTTCTTAGGGAATGCAAACCGGAATAGTAAAACGCATTAACAATCAATCCTCTTTTTGTAAGTATTTAGACAAGGCCTAAGACAACATATGTTTAACAACTTTATTAACATGTGTGTCAAGTGGTTGAAGGCGATGTGTACTATAAGGTGGAATGCATATTATTTCAATATCCATCTCTATCGCTAATTAAATTGCTTCAAAAATTATTCATCCAAAAAAACAGTACTTTTTTCCAATCCACTTTTGTAAGAAACTCATTAAAATGATGTAAAAAAAGTCAATAAACATCTCTTAATCAATATATCCGCTTTTACTCAATGTACTTTTGTATCCAAAGGAAATTTAGATGCATCTGGAGTCTTGGTTCCTTTAAATACGAAAAAATGGTGGTCAGCTGTCCCCTGCTGCATTGACAGTGGCCAGGTATGTTGTTAATGTGCCACGTTCACCAATAGTTAATTTTTGTACCTCACAAGAGCTCTTTACACAAAACCACTTGGTACAGATAAAAGGCCGTTTTCACCACAATTATAAATCAAATTTTGCACACTTATTATTTACTATATATACATTTCACACTATACATTATAATAAGCTTGTTTACATGTGTCATTACATGTGTTTACATCAGAGTTCATAATTAAAACTTTAAAAAGTTCTAAAAATTAACTGTAAACTAATATATTCTGAAAAGCCTCTTATAGATAAAAAAAACTTTATTTTCTTTTAAACGGCGCTCCAAAGTTTAAAAGTTTGCGTGATTAAAGAAACTAATTTATCTTGAGTATTATCTTTTCTTTAACCACAAAGTTGCCCCTTATTTGAGCATGTGATAACAAACATTATGCGAAGATTCCAAAAGAAAAAACATAGCAACTTAAATTGTTACTTAAAAAATATTGACATTGATCTATCGAAAAAAATATACTTTCAGTCAAAACATGGCGTATTTTGGTTATTTTTTTGACGATAACCATTAAAGCAGAAAAATATTTTTTCAACTTTGATGTTTACTCGCAATATTTAAAAAATAATCAAAGGAAATATATAAAACACTTATTTAATAATATTCTACAAATATCAGTTGAAAAAGTTTCAAAAAAACCTTGTAAATAGATTTTTTAGTTTTTATGCATAATTATGTTAAAACTGAGTCAATTAAGTGACGAATTCGCTCTGTGACGAATTCACCCCGCTCCACCCTATACATGTGTGTGTGTATATATGAAAATATAATTAAGTTTGATTTTATATATATACATGTGTATATATTTATGCAACAATGATTTATAATACTAAGTATGACTGCAATGCATTAGTTAATGCTATAAATGCATAATTATGCATATTATGCATTTACTAATAAACACCAAATGTATTTGTAAGTTGAACTGTAATATTTTCAAGATTTTCAAGTTAAAGCAAATAAGTTACAAAATTAAAACAAATTTAATCTCATAGTACTAAAACTTCAGAACAAACAAACCCATTGCACAGCAAAACAACTTGAGCATGACAGTATAAGGTTTTATGGTGGGTCGCAGTAGGTTAGCGGTAGGTCACAGTATAAGGTTTTGTGGTAGGTCGCAGTAGGTTAGCAGCAGGTCACAGTAGGTTAGTAGCAGATAACAGTTTTGTGGTAGGTCACAGAAATAAAGAAATATTTTTGGTGAAAGCTTCTAATAACATTTTATTTTTCTTATTTTAATTAATTTTTTTTTGTGATGATTTACAACTTCTTTCATTAAATAAAAATATTACTACTAGTGAATAATTATTTTAATCATTATTTTTTTCATTAATATTAATTTTTTAATACAAAATGAACTAATTGGTCTAACAAAAAGTCTAACCTGAAAATCATGAGGTTTTGCAAGTATGTTAAAAATATTTGTTTCAGAACATGAAACATGCGGACACGGAAGAAACTTAAACTAAACAATAAAGATCATACAAATAACAGACAAACACAAAAGCTTAAAAAAAAAAGTTTGACATTAAAAATTTTTTTAATGTCATCTAATACTGTAAATTAAAGTTAATATGAAATCTCACAATCTGTCACAAAAGATGAAAATGACAATCTTATACTGAAATATCTATTTGTGGGGCTTCAGTTCATACATCAAATAACGGTTAGGGATTGGATGGGTAATATCTATGTAAGCAGATTTGTTATCATGGCAAATAATATTTTCTATCTTTTTGAAAACTTTTAAAACTTCTTCTTTTTCATTTATATCTAGCTTTTGTTTATACTGAGACTCCGCATATAGTTATTTCAGTACAACAGGAGCTTCAGTATATATATCTTTTTAGGACAGATACAATATAGAAATAAAAAAAAATTTATAATACTGCAAAAAAGAGTTTCTTTTATTATTCTTCTTTGTCAGAAAAACTTTCTGGATTAAAATCAACATTTTAAAAAGTTAAAGTAATGCAAAATATGAATTAAAATCATATATTAAATCAACTCACTGGATTTGCTTCTGTATTCTGATTCAAATCTTCAGAATCTTCAAGCAACATGGTAGTTATCCAGAATAGACGAAAGTCTTTCTAAATTAAATATGTACTTTCAAAAGACTGCATTCTTAGAATCTCCTTACATTTATAATCCTAAAATCCCAGTAATATTATTTTATTAATAAAAATACAGGGCATTTTCCTTGCAATATTCAGAATCCTGTTGAATCTGCTATTAATAAATATGCAAACCATTCTAGTATTATAAATATAAAAAATAAATCAAAAATTTCTTCTCAAAATTTTATGGTTTATAAAACTACATCTGATGACATAACTTATATTATTGGATTCCTAAATACTAAAAAGAAGACAAGTAGTGATAAACATTTATGTCAAAATCAACATTTATGTCAAATATTTATGTCAAAATCATAGATAGCATCAGTTAGACAAACTCTCACTTTCTGTATTAATAATAACATATCTCAAAGTGAATTTCTGTTGTTTTTTAAAAAAATTACTTAACAGATAAGTCAAACTATCACCCAATAAGTATTCTTCCAGCTCTCTCAGAAATGTTTGAGATTTATATGAGCAAGTACAGGTGTTAAATGAGCCTAGTTTGGCCAAAATGTTATGTGGGGATCGAAGAGGGTACAGTGCACAACAGGTGCTATTTAAATTACTAAAAAAGCAACATAAACTTTTGGATAATAGAGGAATTGCTAGTTTTATATTTATGGATCTTTCAAAAGAATATGATCTAAATCCTTATGACTTGCTTTTAGCTAAATTAGAAGCTTCTGGGTTTTATAATTAAAATCTTAAATTATTTTTATTTATAAATTATTTTTAGGGTGGTCATATATTGTATTAGGAGAGCCTCAAGATTCAATATTGGACTAATTTCCTTTAAGATTTTTATAAATTATTTTTTTCCTATTTATCAAATATTCCATTATAAACATAGTTAGACCTGCTCTTGCAGCCAACCTTCAACCTCTGTCACATCATCGTAATGTTGCTTCTCTTTCTCTTTTCTGCAAATACTATTATGGTCACTGCTCGAAAGAGCTAGCGTCTCTTGTGCCATCTACTAAAATTCTTGTGTTACTCGTCATTCAATTAAGTCTCATCCTTTTTCTGTTACTGTTCCTAAGTGCTCCAAAAACTCTTATTCGTCTAGTTTTTTTCCTCGAACATCAGTTCTTTGGAATTCGCTTCCTTCATTTTGCTTTCCTGATTCATTCAATTTGCAATCTTTTAAGTCATCTGTCAATGTTTATCTTGCTCTAGAATCTTCATCTTTTATCTTCCAGTAACTTCCAACACTAATTAGTGGTTGCTTGCAGCCTTGTTGGAAGTGAAGATAATTAAAAAAAAAAAAATATGCAACTTTGCTAAGGATTTTGTGGATAACAACATAGAAAGGGTTTTTTCTCAGCTTTAACTATAAATAGAAAATGATAGTTCATGGTTTGCTTTGAACAGCAATGGTTGTAAATCCTGATAAATTTCATTTTCCATTATTTGGCTAAAAAAACTCCGATGGTCTATTTGTAAATATTGATAAAGTATATTTATAATTGCTATGCAATTTATGCAACATTGTTTATATTATAAACGAAAACGTATGTAAATGCTTTCAAAAAACTATCAACAGAAAATAAAGTTCAAAAAATCAACAGAAAATAAATCAAATTAAATTAGATAATAGGATTTATGATCTTAAAAAATTTGTTTATACATTTTAAATGTGTATACATTTCAAAAATTCACAGGAATTAAATTTTTCAAAAGCTCACAATTCAATAAGTTATTTGAGTTATAAGCAGGGGTTAGTTTTATGGTTAGTTTTATTATTCTTTAACATGTATAAAAATTGGAGAAAAAATAAAAAAATAAGTGACAAAATATTAGTACTAAAACTGCTGAAAATTGTGTTGAATTATTAAAAAAAACTCAAAGATCTTTATTTACACAGTGACAATGCAGCTATAAAGATAGATGAATAAAATCATGTTTTGCCCTCAGCCTACAACTTGCAGTAATTTTCTTTATGAAATGAAGAAACTCAATACAAATCAACTAGAAATCAAGGATAAACTTTCTGACAATGATTTGTTTTAAGAAAAGAAAATAGAGGAAGAATGACTGGACTACAATCGTGAAAATATAAAACCTCAAGGTAAAATAACAAAAGCTCATTATAAGCCAGCCATTTAAAAGGTATGCAAAATGTTAATAATGTTTAAAATGATATAATCAATATACTCTTCTGCAGCAAAGTTCAATTTTAGAACTTTGAATGTTCTGAGACCATGTTGCTAGGATCTGGTTTAGTTGACCAAAACCATATTTACTTTTATGATAGTGATAATGTAACAACACATTTTTACATATTGTATCATTTTTGAAATAAAATATTTTTGTTTTTAAATTTGTTGTACTGAATTTCTTTAATAATTTTGTTAGCAAAGCTTTTAAATGATAAAATTCGTAATTACGCAAAGTGTTCTGAAAATAATTTAATGAGCGGAATTCTTACAAGAATAATTCTTTTATATTAATTCCAGAAAGACATGCTTCTGTTACTAACTTTACACAACATTCCACTGGAATGGCTGGAATGCACCTGGAAAGAATATTTGTGATGTATCATAAAAAACCACATTATAATATCAGCAGAATAGTTGGAAAGAATCGGAGGTTCAGAAATTATTTTTTCTTACCAATTGATTAAATCAATATACTCTTCTGCAGCAAAGTTTAATTTTGGAAGTTTGAATGTTCTGAGACCATGTTGCTCAGATCTGGCTTATAAAATGTGTACCCATTGTTTTTCTACTTGTTCGAAAAACATACACAAAAGAATATTTTCCTGATACGCAAAATATTTCAGTATTAGTGTAACATCTAATATTTTCTTTTAAACTTTTGGTGTTTAAAAGAAAAGGCCAAACAACATTGTCATAAGGCATTTAAATGAAAAACTGGCTCAATTCTTTTAGGTCATCAGACAAATAGCAAGAATTGTAAATTGTTTGCCAAATTTGATGGTATATACATATATATATATATATATATATATATATATATATATATATATATATATATATATATATATATATATATATATATATATATATATATATATATATATATATATATATATATATATATATATATATATATATATATAGAGAGAGAGAGAGAGAGAGAGAGAGTATAATGGTCTAAAGTAATCAAACATTTATGAACAAACCAAAAAATATTCTAAACCAAAGAATTTTGATGTGTAATGTTAAGAGTTTAGGTTTAAGTCTCAAAAAGTCAAAAATCAAAATTTTTAACATAAAGTAAATAAAAAACATAAAGTTTTTGACTTTTTATGACTAAATTTTTATATAATCAGAAATTTTTATGTTTATTTTTGCTTTGATATTCACTTCAACAGTACACTAGATACTTTTTAAGCTTATAAGCTTTAAAAAATGCAATGTGTTCAAACAATGCAATGTGTTCAACCATTTTGTAAAAGTTTCAAGTGAAAAAAATAAGAATTTACAGTTAAAGTATTTTTTTTATCCTGTTGTTCCTTTCCAAAACAAACTTTTAATAAATTATTTTTTCTTATAGTTCAAAATAGTTTTCTTTATATATGTAAGATATTCAATTAATTCATTTTATTCAAATTTACTTTTTAACGTCTTAATTCTCATCAGAATTATGTATGCATAAGAAAAGTTCATTAAAAACTACTATTATAACTATTGGCAGTTTATAAAATGAAAAATTTAACCATGGAGTATCATGTTTCTATGGACTTCTTACTATTATACATATATATATATATATATATATATATATATATATATATATATATATATATATATATATATATATATATATATATATATATATATATATATATATATATATATTATATATATATATATATATATATATATATATATATATATATATATTAAAAATTATTAAAAATTATATATAAATAATTATATATCAAAACGAACAGTTGATATATAATTATTTATATACAAGTATAAATTTTAATATTTTTAATATCCAAATCAAAAATTAAAAAGTAAAAAACTTGCCTCACTTTCGTAGAAACAAACTCCTTTATAAAACATTAAATCAAGAATCCAAAAAGTGCGATTCACCTCATCATAGATGCAGTCCAATAGTGTAAATGATTGTTTTGCTAAAATTGTTTTTTTATGTTAAAATTATAAAACTTCAAGTTAAGTTGAAAAATAAATTTTTTCATTGTTGGTTTATATTACTTTTTCATTTACTGAAATTTTAAAAAACTAAATCAATCTTTAACAATTTTAAATGTATGTTGTATAATTTATATTGCACAAGAATACAAATTAGTCAGCTTTTATAACTGCAATTCTTCTGCATTGAACTACAATTAGGAGTCAATCAAAAAGAACTATGGTTTAATATGATTATACATTTTATATTCAGCACACCACATGTAATTATATATAAAGATACCTGAACTATGCCAAGATTTAAATGAGCCACCTGGAAGAAGAGATGGAAATTTGTTTAAGCAATAGCCATTTTTTGAATATGCACTTGTTGAACCCTAAACATTTCAGAAATAAAAATTCTTAAAAAAAATATTAATTATAAATAATATAGGATTTTTTGTTGTTAATAATACAATAAATCAGGTTTACTTATTAAAATTATATATATATATATATATATATATATATATATATATATATATATATATATATATATATATATATATATATATATATATATATATATATATATATATGTATATATATATATATATATATATATATATATATATATATATATATATATATATATATATATATATATATATATATATATATATATATATATATAGCAAGCAATTTAATATTAAACAAAATGAAGGAAAAAGAAACCAAGCAAAACAACAATATTCAAAAAAATGAATTAATTTTTTAGAAAAAAAGAAAACGTTTCTTATATTAAAATATTACTAAGAAAGTATTAAATAGTACTAGAGGATTTTTAGTATTTATTATCATTGCAAATGTTATTGATACGATTTTGATATATGTAAAAAGTTATATTATATAAATATTTAATTGCAGCTTTGTAACTATGATTTACTATTGTTATCTTATTATAAGAGGAAGTATTAGTTGAAGGTATCATGTTTTTGTTTATAAAAATAATTTTCATAGGTCAACAAATTATTTTCATTTTTTAGTTTGAGAAAATCAAAAAGCTGAATGAATGGCTCCATAATTTTTTTATGTATTTTCTTGCAATCATATACATGTCGAATCTATCTGTTGAATTGCCAGTTTTGCAATTAAAGATATGTCCATTTATGTGGTTTCTTATATTGTCTGTAGATAGTCCATTACACAATAAGCATTTTAGATAATAAATGACATTTTTGCTATTACATGTAATGTGACTTTTAATGTTCCAAATAGTGCCATGTCTCAAACATATCTACATTAGATGTTTCAAACTCATATACTTCTTGCAAATATAACCAGCAGATTTTACATTGACTGTTTTTGCATTTTAATATTTCTCATTTTCTTAACAGATGATGTAGAGTTAAATTTTGAGATCGCTATTTGTCTCAGTAAGTTTGGTGATTGTTTGTAGGCAACTACTTTTTGAATATTTGAAAAAACTTTTTTTAATCTTTCATTTTCAGATAAACTAAGTAAAAGGTAAGCTTGGTTAACAGTTGAAATTACTACAGAAAGTAGTCACCAAGGGAAAAACTTCTTTCGACTGTTTTATTGGTGCTGGCCCTTGTAACTTTGCATTATGAAATGCTTTTGCATTCATAAATAATGTTTGTAAATCTTTTTTTTTTTTTTTTTTTTGTTATTCACCTCCTCAAGGCCGAGAAGGCCACTACAGACGAGGAGGCTACTTAATAGTGGTTATAACCCTCTCTCAACTCTATAACTCCGAAACACAAACCTTGACAAACAAGGCCGCTGCGCGGAGAAACAAGTTGAGCGCAGTACTACCAGGGACGTGGTGGAGATCGAACTCAGAATCTCTCGCTTATGAAGCGAGTGTTTTACCACTACACCACTACTGCAAATCTCTACACAAGCTCTGTTAAAATTGTGTAGAGTCACAAGTTAGTTTAATATAATATGAACCCATTATTCTAGGAATTTTTCTTAAAAAATCGCAGTCATCTTCTGTTTCTTTACAATTGGAGATTATGTGAAGAAGTTGGCTTAGATGAAATATTGGTGAATCTATTCCAGCAATAATGTGCCAACCTTTTAATTCTTTTGGTGGTTTCATTTTGATAAATTGAGAGCTAGATTTTTGAACTTTTTTAATTACATAAAAAGTACAAGATTTCCATTCGAAATTAGTGATGTAATCAATTTTGTTTTGTGTTAAACATGTTTTGCAATCACTTTTGAAAGATTTTTGAAAAAATTTTTGTTAGAGTCAATTTTTTTTTCTTCATTTAATTGTTTTTTTCTTTCTTTTTTTTGTTTTTTGTTTTAATTTCATTTAATTCACCTCAATGACTGGTTCAAATCAAACAAACTCTCTTTGAAAAACAGTAAAACTAAGTATATCTTATTTCATCAATAATCTAAATCCAATGACTTGCCTCTGCAACTTCCTCAGCTAACTCTAAATAACAATATAGTTTCATCACTTAAAATCTTGGGAATAATATTTGATGATTATTTTATTTGAAAAAATCATATTGCGCTTATTGAAAACAAAATTTCCAAAACTATAGGCACTATGCATAAAACAAAACATCTACTAAGTAGTAAAAAAAAATTAAAAAATTAGTTTTTAAGGTAGAAGATTAAAGAAAAAATTAAATAGAGTTTTTAGTTATTTATTTTATTTAAGTTTGTCTTCAACCAGTCTGTTTCTTTGGATTTGACAAACTCTAAGAGGAGTTGACCAAAAAAAAAAATACAAGGTTATTTTCAATTTTTGAGATCAATTGTATGACACTCTAGTACAACTGGTGGATTGTCAACTTTTTTGTCAAAACTGATGTTATGGGCCTCATAGCAGTCTGTCAGGGTGTTGGCATAATGTAATAAGGCCAGGTCTGGCCAAAATACATAACTACCATTGGTATGATGGGCGTTGATGAACGGCACTAATTTTCCCTTAATACAATCTATTTCGAAAATACCTTTGTCAGAAACGGGTAACCAGATGAACAGCTTGGGTTTGAACTTGCATTTTTTGCAGTATTTAACACTCTGTGGAGTCTTGTTTCTGTCACTAGAGTAGTTGGTCTCAAATTGCTCTTTCTGGCTCTATATATATGACAAAAACAATCCTGTTATCAATCCATAATCATTCAATCAAGGATGATCATGGGATGGTCAAGTCAAATGATCAAAGATGGTCTGGTTTATGATTTATATGGAGCAAATAACAAGAATGTTAATACAAAAGAATGTGTCAAAAAGTGTTTAACTACATAAACAAAGCAAAACAAAATGATAGCTTTTCTGAGCAGAATTGACAAGCTCAAATTACCCAGATTACATTACCAGTACAGGGCTCGAATTAAGCATATCACAATCGCGAATTGCAATTGCTTTTTACACCTTCACAATTAGTTTTTTCTTAAAAAAAATATTTTTGCAATTTTTTTTTTTTGGGGTTGTTTATTTTTCTTCTAGTTGAGCATTTTAATAAACCAACAAGATCGCTTTTTCTTCTTTGGCATATTTTTTTAACTAGAGCATTCTTAAGATTATTTTCTAAATAACAGTATAGTTTGTTCACCAAAGTAGAGTATCAGTATATAGTAGAGTATAAGTATAAGTAAGTAGAGTATCAAGTTCTGGAACCATAAATTTTAATGTGTCATCAGCTGTTAATAATGTTGCTTCATTTTTACAAATCATTTCAGAGTCTAAAACAATTAGCTCAAGACTTTTTGCTAAATTTTTAACTTCTTCCAGCTCATCAAAGTTAATGATTTGTTATTTAAATCCATGAGAACCAAAAAAAAATCATGGGATCCCAGAAAAAAATTCCTGGGATTTTAAATTTTTAGTTTATTATTTTTCTAATTGTTACCTACAGTTTTGTTAATAATTGGCTTTAACATAAGTCAAAAGTTTAAGACTTTGGTCTTGAAAATTTTTGTGTAGGCCTTAACCTTAAAACTCTTATTCTTGGCCTTGACCTTGAAACTCTTAACCTTGGTCTTGTCCTTGGCATTGTATCTTTTGGCCTTTGTTAACAACCATGAATCTTGATATTGCTTTAAATAAAATTTCAATATAAAAAAACAGTATAGCGTTTTTCATATTCTATTTGATATTTCTTGTTAAAATAATTTTTAGTTAGAAGCTTGTATTATGTGTTAACAACATAGAAACTGAAGAACTCATATGGCTACCTTTTGCAAGTCTTTGATTATATTAAGTAAATTAATACAGTTGATAAATTAATATTTGAGTAACTATAAGTTACTGTAGTAACTTAACAGGTTGTTTTGATTTGGTAACTTAACTAGTTGATTAAGTAAATTTACTGTAAAGTATTTCAACCATTTAGTAAATCAAAGTAAATAACGAGTTATGCATAAGTCTTCGAACTTTTTTTATAGAGTCGTAAAAAAATATTGTTAGTTAGATAAAAAAATGAAACTATATGGTAATAAAGAACATTCATTCTAGTATTTATTAATATATTTAACATATTGAATAGATGCCTCTATCAGCGATTTTTCTAAGTTTTATTTTAACACTCATTATTAGCCTTTGTAACAGATCTGGATCATTTTCTTTTATTTCATTTAACTTGCTCTTTATTCTTCGAACTAGTTGATATATGTTTCTCCAATCATCACTGTATACCATCTGACTTAAAATAGCCCAAAATGTTTCAATTGGTCTAGCCTGTGGAACATTTGGTGGATTAGTGCATTTTTGTACAAATTCTATGGAATTATCAATAAACCAATTTTCTGTTATATTAGCATATGTTCCCAGGAACTTACTGAAATCACGTGAAAAAATATTAATAATTCCCCCTATCCTGGGATAGCAAAATGTCAGGGAATTTGCAATCCCTAGTAACAATTTCTGTGACAATAAAACCACATGTTGTAAAAATAAACCAAAAATTACATTAAAAAAAAAGAATGAAAAACTTTAAATTCTTTAATTTTATGCATTTTTTATATTTTTTTTGAAGACCACAACCAAAACAAGCAAGACCAAGGCCAAAATTTTCAAGGCCAAGGCCAACAGTTTTAAATCTAAGACCAAGGCCAAAGCCTTAATTTTTGTCCTTAAGGCAAAGATGAGGCCAAGCCCAAGGCCAAGAACTAACAACTCTGTCAAGATTAAACATTTTCTATAAATACGCAAGTTGTTTTTAGGAATTTTTTAAAAAAAAATTTATTTGAACAAAAGAATTCTTCTAAAAAAAATCTTCTAAAATTCTCTCATTCAAATATTTTTGCGATTAAAAATTTAAATTAGAAAAAAAAAAAAATTAATTTAAATGTTTATTAATTATAAATTTAATTGCGGTGGCACCCGTAATACCCAGTGGCATAGCAAGGGTCATTCCTCAAAGTTAAACATATATCTAGGTACAGTAACAATATATCAGATTTAGAACATAGCGCAAGTGAGGAAGAAAATTTTATTTAAATTGTAAACATTTTGAATAGTAAATTTTTTTGTTTTGTTTATTAAAAATAGTTTTTAAAGTAGAAACATTACAAAAATTGCAAAAATTAAATTATTGCAAAAATGAAACCAATGATTATTGCAAATGTTAGACCAAAAATTAAATTAGAAAAAATTAAAACTAATTTTAAAAAATTAAAATTTACTTCTGTTCAAAGAAAATTTAAACATAATCAAATATAAATTCAACTTAATCAAATATAAATGGACTAATTAAACCAAAATTTTTTTCACCTATTTTTACAATATTTTGAATGAAAAAATTGAATGATAACATAAACTTAAAAACCATTTGAATGAATACTTAAATTTTTAATAGTACGTTTATTATACTTAGATTTTTAATAGTAATAACAAAAAATTATAAAAAACGTTGTATCTAATGTTTTTTTGCTTTGACCTTTTCTAATTAAACATTTTTTTTTTAATAAAACATTTCTATTTACTTAATTTGTTTTATTTTAAATACATCTTATGTTATCAATGTTACAAAAACTTAACTTTATAAAACAGCAATGCAAACAGCGTCACTAAGTTGTTTATTATTAACACAAGCTCTTTATATTGTGTGAATTTTTTTTTGCAATTAGATTTTTTTGAAATAATTCAAGCCCTGCAGTATCTTGTTGCAAGTGAATTATGTCTGAAAAAAACTAGTTGCAAGTGAATTAGTTTTTTTACTTCAGCCTTACAATACATTTTTTATTGCACATAAATGTATTTTTAAGGCGAAATATTCAATACTATTATTAAGTGAAATATTTTGTCACTTAAACATTAAAAATTGTTAAAATGAATATAATAATTTTATATATTATTATGTTTATCTTTAAAATTTCTCTAGCATTTCAATATCAATCAAAAAATTATATATATTTTTTTAAATTGAATTAAATTAAAATTTAAGTTGTAAGTTAAATTTCAAACAAAATGTAAAACATAAAATGTAAAAAATTATATTGCCAACCGAAAAAAAACTAATTAAAATTACTTTATGTGCAACAATAAGAACTCGCTTGCCAACAGGAGATAGCATCATTATCCAGTCACTCTCTAAATCAGGAGGGGCATCTACAAGCCACTCTGATAACATTAACTAAAAAAACATGTTAAACTTGCCTATATATAAAGAGATTTTGTACCTGTAATTGCAGTTTAAACATTGCTTTTAAACATTTTTTTTTTTTTTTTCAAAAAAATTAAAATTTTAAATAAGTAAAATAATGTGAAAGAAAGTTTATAATTACATATATATAAAGATTATAAATACGTAAACAAATATTTTACAGACAAAAATATTTTTTACATATTTTAAAACATTTATTTTATTTCGTGAATTTTCAATCTTAATGTATATTAAAAAGAAAACAGCAAATTTATGATACCCAAATGCATATGTTTTTAAAAAACATAAGAGTTTTTGAAAAATATTTTTCTGCTTCTCTATTTACCAGCTATGTTTTTAACATATCTGCTTATCAAATGAGTTTTAAATCTAGTTAAAACTAGATTTATTAATATAAAAACTTTTAATAACAGTGCGTGTTTAAGACTTTTGAGGGCGTGGGGCTATTTTTAAAGCAGGATGCTTTTTTATGAGTCATCACATATTTGGTGTCTCAAGATAACAAGATCATCTTGAAAATTTCAAGGCTACTAAAAGTGCCATGTCAGAGGTTTATGCCTTTAATCCCCTGTCCACCTTTAATCCAGCACTGCTTACAAATCAAACCTTTTTAATTTAGTAACATTAACCAACTCAAGACGATTAACCACAAATCATACTAAATGTTAAATTTTATATTTTTAATGTTAGAAAAACAATGTTTTTTTAAAAAGATTTTTGTTGGTAATTGAAATTTTATTTCTTATATATATTTTGATTAAATTTTACAAAGTGAAATATTCAATATTAAAAAAAAAAATTAAATAACAAAATAAAAATATTTTTGTAGTATTTATTACTTAGAGAAAATTAACTTAAAAGCAAAAAAATAATATCAAATTAAAAGCCTAGGTGCAAGAATTTTATAAAACAATATTTTTAGTTTGTATCTATTATCACCAGGTTACTTTGATTATAAAAAAAAAATTGTTTTTATTTTTTTTATTTTTTAGTTAAAACAATAAACAAAATTGATTTAAAATTGTACTTGAAAAATATCAAACACATATATTGTGCTAAATGAAACAATACTTCTAAATATTAGCAGTTTCAACAAGGTATGATTCTTGCCCATACAAACATAGTAAATAACAAATAAAGAAAATAAATTAGATTTAATGCCCTGCCCAACTCAATTACAAGAGGGAGAGTTCCAACAAAAATATGCAAAAAAACTTGTTATTCAATGCAAAAAAAAAAAAAGTGTTATTCAATGCAAAAAAGCTTTTGAAAAGTGTTTGAAATATATTTCACCTACTTTGATATATCAGTTATTTTATTAAAATCTTTTGTTTAACAATATTTTTATAGTTTAATTATTTAAATTTTATACTTGTTAATTTAAATATACCTACTTTTTTTTGTTATTATTATTATTTTTAAACTTTATGTCTACTATAACTTGTATTTACTTTAGCTACAAAGAAAATTCTTTAGTTAAACACACAGCATTAAGAATACTTGATTGTAAGCTTTATGTAACAAGTTACGTAAAGCTTATAATAATTATCTGCATATACAAACATATTTATTTTATAAAGACATATTTATAATATTGTTATATTCTTAAGAACTATGTATTTGAACTAAATAATTGACGTCAATCACGTCATTATAAAATATGGTTAAATGAACTTAAGTTATTCTAACTATATTTAATTAATGTGTTATAAAATCTGTTTTGTAGATCTTGTATTGCGTTTGATTTAACATTTGATAAAAGCCAAAAATATTTAATATAGACTTATTTATTACAACTTCACAACAAATATAAATACATAACATATTTATAATATAAACACATAACATAACTACAGCCTTTTATGAAATGAAAATATAATTATCTTTGATTTGTTAATATGCTGCATACTACATTAAATCTGATGGACCAGAACACTTTAATTGCTTAGTCGTTGAAACAAACTGCATATTTAGAACTACGCAGTACTAATACATTTTATTACATTACAATTAAAAATTAAAGGGTGTTGAATTTTATTGTGTTCAACTGATAATTTAGATACTTTTGGGAAATAAAGGTGAAATAGAAGTGGAAAATACTTTTAAAAACTTCTCAAGTCTATTAACAAATATATTATATTAATTAAATATTACTCTATCGACAAACATTTTAGGAGCAAAACAAAGATGAAAATACCTGGTTTTTGTATGGATTAAATCTTTTTTTATTTTTTTGTTTTTCACACTAAAAAAAAGACGACAGTTTTAAATAAAAAATTTAAAAAGAAAATATTATATAAATGAATACATAATATATATGTATAAATATATATATATATATATATATATATATATATATATATATATATATATATATATATATATATATATATATATATATATATATATATATATATATATATATATATATATATATGTATATATATATATATATATATATATATACATATATATGTATATATATATATATATATATATATATATATATATATATATATATATATATATATATATATGTATATATATATATATATATATATATATATGTATATATATATATATATATATATACCCTTATAGTGTCGAAAGAGCGTTTTAATATAAAAAAAAGTCTCTTACGACTACAATTTTAATTACCTCGTCTCTTAAGCTGTTTTTGATTGTCATCGAAATGTCAAAGCAATTAATTTATGCGGAAGTACATTAAATTTAATTGTTTTTTAAAAAATTTTTAAAAAACCGCAATTATAACGACTAGAAAGTTTTTTTTAATTAGTGGTGTTTTTGTTATTGATTTAATAAAAAACATTTTTTAAACATGCGTAAATGTTGCTACATCGACTATCTTATAGCCTGATTCGCAACGGAGTGCTGCTACATCGACTGACAAATAGCCTGACTCGCAACGGAGTGCTGCTACATCGACTGACAAATAGCCTGACTCGCAAGAGAATGCTGCTACATCGACTGACAAATAGCCTGACTCGCAAGGGAGTGCTGCTACAACGACTGACAAATAGCCTGACTCGCAAGAGAGTGCTGCTACATCGACTGAGGGTTTGGTTTGGCCAGGCAGTCTATCAATTAAAAAAAAAAATTTAATTTTTAAAACTTTTTCTGGTCTGGTTTATTAACGCGCTCTTTAAAACTACAGTTTATGGGAAATATTTGTTGATGCCACGCAAGAGACATGCAAGAGTATATATATATATATATATATATATATATATATATATATATATATATATATATATATATATATATATATATATATATATATATATATATATATATATGATCACTTGTAGCAGCATGCTATAATATAGTCGATGTTTTTTGATTTTCCTTGAGTTTTAAAAAAAAAGTATAAATATTTATTTGGCTTTTGTAAAGAACTTTTGTGAAAAGTTTGAACTTAAAAATTAACCAAATTTGAAGACAAAAAATAAAATAATTCAATTAAAATTCTAACTTTACTGAATTCTTCAACTTCCATAGTTGCTTGAGTGAAATCTTCTTCATTGAGGTCGCCATCAGCAAGTTTTCTAGCATAGCTGACTGCATCAAACCGGTTTCTATGTATTTAAAACAAAGTTTTTATACAAAAGATTTATCTATTAGTTATTACACATTGTTGGAACTATTTAATATATATTAATGGCTGTAACACAAAATATTAGACTATTTAATATAACAATAATAATTATTGTATATACATAAACTATTAAAACAGATAGGTGAAAACTTTGATATAGAAAGACTAAATTTAGGACTTACCATATTTAAAATGTAGGCTAAAGACTTTTAAAGTAAGGAGGATAGGTTATCTGTACCAGAATCCCGTAGTCTTTACTTTTACCTCAACTATTATTTTAAATGGCTGCGAAAATTAAATCTAGTAAAATATTATATCCAAAGTTTGCAAAGTTTTAGACTTTCAAATTCCTTTATTAAAAAACATTAGAATAAGCAATCCTTCAAAACTATCAAAAATTCCTTAAAACAGACATTTTTTTTTACGTGTACAAAGTTATGTTTATTATTTACAAAATTATGTTTCTTCCTATTTTATATACGTACGCAAATTAAATCTGTGTATCAGTAATTATGGGCAAAAAAAGTTTTTAAAAATGAAAATACTACTCGGTTTAGTTAAGGCACTTTTAAAATATTATAGCGCTTGTAAAATATTCTGCTGACTACGACATATTGCCATTAAATGGTCAGGTCTGTGAATTATGAAAAGACGAAAAATATTAAAATGATAAAGTTTGTGGTATCTTAAATATAAATTTTTGTAGTAAAAAAACCCAGACCAAAGATTCTTTGTTTTTTTTTTTTTAAATCATCTTAAAATCACAATTGCTCATCCAAATTTGAATAAGATTTTATATTAATATGTTTTTTAGGTATAATAAACACTATAGTTTAAGAATATGATCTGTTCTGATTGTTTATTGACAATTTTTCATAATTATAAGCTCTTTCTTGGTCGGAATTCTAGTACTTTTTGAGTAAAAAGGTTTTGAAAAAAAAAAAAAAACTAAAGCTTTTGTTTAAACATAATTAGCTGATAAAATCATGCTAATTCTAAATAAAAGTATTTGAATAATTTGTAAATCGCCTTAACTACACCAAGAAGTATGATTATTATAAGAAAAACAAAATTTAATATAGTTCAACTTGTCTTTTTGTAAATTTTATTTATCAAAAAAAAAGTTTAATATTCGCTCTAACAAAGGAATTATTCAATTTTTTAGTTTAAATTTTTCGTAACCATTTCAACAAAATCTTTGTTTTTTTAAACATAAGACTATATCATATCAAACTATATTTTATATATTATAAGATTTATATAAAATTGAGACTATATCATATCAAACTATATTTTATATATTATAAGATTTATATAAAATTGAGTTTTATTTAAGGGCCGGCTTTAAATAAGTCAATGATTTTGCCAAAAAACTGAGGGAAAAAAAATTAAATTAAAAACTTGTATTTTTTTCCTAATTGTATTTTTTATAGTATTACTTTTATTTTTGTTCATAGATAATTTCATAGATAATAAACTTTGAAAAAATAAGTTTTTTAAAATTTCTTTTGCACAGTATAAATGTTTAATTAATGTTTAAATTTAAAAGATTACTTTTTTTGTTGTTCTAAATATTCTCTTCTTCGATTTTGTTGTTCTCCTGACTTAAAAAATCTGCCCTTGTATTCACCAAGTCTGAAAAAAGTATTTTCACAAATTAAAAATAAAATATAAATATATATATAAAATATATATATATATATATATATATATATATATATATATATATATATATATATATGTATATTTATATATATATACATATACATATATTTATATATACATATACATATATATATATATATATATATATATATATATATATATATATATATATATATATATATATATATATATATATATATATATATATATATATATATACATATACAGACTTTGACAAGAATAACAGGCTATCACTCTCTATTTAGTTTCGACAGCCTGAACATGGCTTTTTAGATGTTTAATAAAGTTTTGAAAATGCGCCAATATATATATATATATATATATATATATATATATATATATATATATATATATATATATATATAATGCTTAAAGTGAGGCGGAATGCCATCCCGTCACCTTTTTATAAAGTATAAACCATCCCGCCACTTTTTCATAAATCTCTCTATATATTTTTTTATAAATCTCTATATATAACAATGATTAGGCGGGATGGTGTTCTTAGTTAACCAAATAGCATCCCGTTACTTTTTTTTCTCCACTTCGAGCACTGTATATATATATATATATATATATATATATATATATATATATATATATATATATATATATATATATAATGCTTAAAGTGAGGCGGAATGCCATCCCGTCACCTTTTTATAAAGTATAAACCATCCCGCCACTTTTTCATAAATCTCTCTATATATTTTTTTATAAATCTCTATATATAACAATGATTAGGCGGGATGGTGTTCTTAGTTAACCAAATAGCATCCCGTTACTTTTTTTTCTCCACTTCGAGCACTGTATATATATATATATATATATATATATATATATATATATATATATATATATATATATATATATATATATATATATACATAAATTAATAAACTTACCTTGGATGTTCTTTAGTTGTGTCATATATGCTGCCTCCAATACCCAAACTAAATATTTCAAGTACATCATCTGACATGATATCTTTATTTAATTAAGTTATTTAATTAGGCAGTCAAACAATTCTTAAAGATTTTATTTACCAATATTGTTAATACTAAGAATTAGTCTAAAAAACAAAACTTAATTTGATGATCAAAATAATGACTTTAATCTTGGGACACTAACAATGTATTATTCATTTTTTTCTCTAGAATCTTGAACCTTGACTCAAGTTTAAAATGTCAACTTCAAAGTTTTAATATATGTCACATAAAATTTAGGCTGAAATATTAGTTACATAAAACTGTGGCTTATTTTGTCTTTTCATCAAAAAAAAAAAAAAAAAAAAACTTGTCTATCTCGCCAGAACTTCACATAAAACTTAAACTGAGATGTTTTATTATAACATTATTGTCCTCTATCATGTCTTCTTATCTATTTATTAACATTTTTATGTCTGGGTAATTATGATATTTTTATGTCTGGATAACTATGCAAACCAGTTGTATGGTTTCTAACAAAGTTGGACAAAACTAGTAGTTTTTTGAAATTCAAATATATTTTTTTGCAAGTTGCTTAAACAAAAAAACAAACAATTAAGTTGTATTTTTATATACATCTGTTTGACTATAGGTTAATAATGAATATCTGTCTTAATAGTGTTTTTAAATAACATTACATGTTATACATTTAAATAAGTTTCTAGGTATGCCAAATTGCATACTTTTGCAATTTTACAATTAGATCTGCTGGATTTCATTACTAAGTCATTTAAGTGGCTTTTCATTATAAAATTATTTAGATGGATGGAAAGAATTTAGGGGTCAGACTGTTTTTTTAAATAACCAGTCCAGTTTTATTAGAATTTGTTTATGAGAAAAAAGTCAAAATTTGCAAGATTAAGATTAATTAATTTGCTAAACATTTAAAATTAATCAATCAGTGATTTAGTAAGTCAGTATTATTATATTATTAATGACAATATAATGTCAGCAAAACAGTAAACAGTTGCAAATATAAGAAATATTTAAGTCATTAATAAAAAATGTTTTAAAACTAAATCATGAGAACACCATTTGAGCATTCTTTTTAGATGTTAACTATTAACAATAGTATACCGTAAGTACACAACAGTATTGAGTAGATATTCTTGAAAATGCATCACCAATATAGAACCTTTATAATAAAAAATGATATAGATAAATTAGAAAGTGTTCAACAACAAGCAACCAGATTAATTCCAGAATTAAGGTGCCTACCCAATGAAGAAAGGTTAAAAAAACTCCAACTGACTTCCTTAAAAACCTGGAGATTAACATATGATTTAATTCAATATTATAAGATTTTTCATAATTTGGACAAATTGTTTTGGTATCAACAACCAAAAACAACAACTACTATTTCAGCAAATGGCCCAGCTGCTAACATTAGAGGACATAAACAGGCATAGATATATATATATATATATATATAAAGCTAATAAAAATAAACAGATCAAGGGAAAATTTTCTGACAAACAGAGTTGCAAAATGGTGGAAACCAGAAGAAATCATTTCCGCCAAAAATGTAAAAATCTTCTAGTACAAGCTTGATAAACATACGAATATGATGAAACTCTGATCTCTATGAATATTTCAAAACTGTAATTATAATGGGCTTATAACAGATTCAACATAGCGTTGAATCTCAAGGAGCATAAATAAATAAATATGACATAAGAAATTTTAGTAAAATGTCTCTGATTCTATAATATTTCAATTTTGTGAGGAAGGAATGATCTACAGTATTAATCTTTAACAAATCTACAAAAATATTTAAACTGCTTGTTTAAATGAGTTTGCAGACTATATATTTGAACTGCATGTAATCTAAAACAACAAACTTGTGTACACAAATTTGTTACTTGTGTACACAAGTTTGTACACAAACTTGTGTACACGTGTTATATTCTGTTTACTAAGTTTTTTTTTTATATCAATACAGTTTGATATATTTTTTAATATTTTTATCATATTTATTATAAATATGATAAAAATATTAAAAAATATATCAAACTGTATTGATATAAAAAATGATGTATAAATTTTGTACAGCTTATCGAAAAAATATATATTAAATTTATATATTAAGTTTATATATTAAGTATTCGTGTTGATACGAATCAAAGTTGCCCCAAACGCATGAATAACTTTGAATCACCACTTTTTATTCCGTTACAAATATTGAAATTTCTGAGAAATCTTTTTAGAAAAGTGTTTTCTTACAAAAAAGGAAATTACAATATTATGACAACAATTGGGATGCAAAAATGGCAACGCGGCTAAAAATAATATATGTAAATAATAAAAGTAATGAACATGTAGTTAGCAAATAAAAAAATTTCTGCGGCAGTACGTTCTTACGCCCTTCACCATTAAAAACTAATTAGTTTTACTAAGTAGTTTTTAATGGTAAATAGTTTTTAAAACCTAATGAGTTTTTAATGGTGACCATTAAAAACTCAATAGTTTTTAATGGTGACCATTTAAAAACTCAATAGTTTTTAATGGTGACCATTAAAAACTCAATAGTTTTTAATGGTGACCATTAAAAACTCAATAGTTTTTAATGGTGACCATTAAAAACTCAATAGTTTTTAATGGTGACCATTAAAAACTCAATAGTTTTTAATGGTGACCATTAAAAACTCAATAGTTTTTAATGGTGACCATTAAAAACTCAATAGTTTTTAATGGTGACCATTAAAAACTCATTAGTTTTTAATGGTGACCATTAAAAACTCATTAGTTTTTAATGGTGACCATTAAAAACTCATTAGTTTTTAATGGTGACCATTAAAAACTCATTAGTTTTTAATGGTGACCATTAAAAACTCATTAGTTTTTAATGGTGTTATTTATTAGTTTTTAATATTCAAATACAGCATAAACATATAAAAAAAAAAGATTTTTTTTTTTAGTTTATAAAAGGGATCGCGGTAACAGAGGGGAGTGGTGAGGAGTGAAAGGCTGAGTACCCCCCCTCCCACAACTTTTTCCAAATTTTTAAAATAAAGTGTATAATATTATATGAAAATATGAATATTCTTTATACAAAAGATAAAAACTCATGCTGCCATCTATGTTGCAAGCAAATAATAGAGAAATGTTATTGTACGAAATATTTTGTTCAATTTTATTGATACTCGATTTGAACTTGCAACCTCTTGGGTAAAGAGTTCAACACAATAACCACTGCGCCACGTATGCTATTTTTATTATAAAAAATCATAACATCATCTTATTGATCTATTTCAGAATCGACATTTGTTTCATTCATGTGACTGTTTTCAAAATCATCTATATCATTTTCACTGTTAAAATCATCATCACAGTTTTCATTATTAATATTTGTATTTAAGATTAATAGTTCTCTTACTTCGGATGGCATCTTATGTTTCTTGTACTTTTGAATTCTTTGTTGTAATCTTGAACTTGAAAGAATTGGATCTGAAGTCTCCATTGCACGTGTGAACACATCAAAGAGGTTGTGTTGGCAACTATCTTTTTGAGCATGATTGATTCTATCTGATCTAAAAATTTTATTTCTACTTTCTGAAGCTTCTTCAGATAACATGCCAACAGGGACAATTAAATTTGATATGACTTGTGAGCCATGTATCAAAAGTTTATGTCATAGGACTCATAGGAAATTTTTTATATAATTTAACATACCGAGATGCTGTTGAGAAGCAATAGTCATTAAATTTGACTGGGTCAATTGGAAATCGATAAGAAATACACAACAAAAGTATTCCTAATCTTTGAATAAGCTGCAAGTCGATGTCTAAAATCTCAGACAAGAGCTTCGGATCTTCGAATGCTCTTTTTGCAACGTTTCCTGTATTACTATTTCCACCGCTTGATTTTGGCATGTCTATATGAATGTTAAGTTTGTTTTTGAATCGGCTTTGAATTTCAATCTTCCTTGCTTTTATTATTGCTTCGTTTTCTTTTCTATGCACTTGCAATTGATTTTCAGGCAAAACTAATTTATAAGAAATGTGTAACATTGCTTCGAAACAGCATATATGCATGTGAAGAATACCTAAACCATATTGTAGAGCTACTGGGTTAACATTAAATAATCCTTTTGTAAAATTTACTAGTTTATTCATATCTTTTAAAGAACAACCACACACAGTACATCGTTGAAACGAAGTTGTCTTTGTAATAAATGCTTGAATCTTTCCATCTATTAACGTCAAACACAGATTACATTCAACCAATAGTTTCTTTCCAGACTTTAAAATAATCACAACCTCTTCGAGTTCAGCAATTTCTTTATCATATTTCTCCTTTAATCGAATTACGTATTCTTTACTTTCCTTTGCAGATTTGATTCTCTGTGGATGGCAAAATCTGGTAGACTGAAAAGTTTGATTAGTCCATTAAATTTTTCCACAGCTTGCTTGCAATCTTAAAGGAATCATAGATGTCACAAATAATGAACTATCACTAAAAATTTGACTTAGATCTTGATTGAAACTTTCTTTTTGCGTGCTACCGTCAAAGCCATAAGAAACTATAAATTTGCATTAAACAACATTATTTTCTGGAATTTCTTTCTCAATAATTTCATGCTGCGATTTACTAATTCTTTCTAGAGTATGTTTTAATAAATACTTCCATTCTACTTCAATGCAATTTTCTGTTTGCAATATTTCACTTGGACAACATTGAGATTTTTCAGCTGATACCAACTTAAAAGAAGGGAAAATATCGCCACCTTGAGTTTTTGCTGCAAATCTTATTTGATTATACTGATTTTTGGACAAATTCGTATCAAAAAGAAACAATAACGCTTGTTCCGGTGGCTTTTCCTTTGTTAGGCCCCATTGTGCATTGGTATAAATTATGCCTCATATTCTATAATCTAGAATAATTAAGACATCAGAGGCGTAACTATTAATTTGCCTCATCCCCTTCCTGCAAAAAAGTAACGGAGTCCTCCACCCTGAAATTTTTTTTTATTATATTAAAAAAAATGCAGTATTTCTTTTTATTAAGTATATAAATAATATTTGTTTTTTAAGTTAAAGAAAGATCATAGAATCTCTGCCTCAAATAATTATATAAAAAACGAACATTAAAATCATGTTTGAGGGAAGTATGCCTATT